TTTTTATGGTTTGTTCTAGTCCCTTTTCTTTCTGTCATGAACAAGTAATTGCTTCTCCTCTTGCTTTTGAATTTGTCTGCTTTCCAGAACTAAGCAAACAGTTTAGTTTTTAGCTTAACTTGGTTTCGAAGCTTTTACAAACTGAAAACAGTTTTCTAACTGTTTTTTTACTTGTCTTTTCTAACCGGAGTGTGTCAATATTCTTGTGGTGGGTTAATCTTATTTTTGCTCTTGTTGTTGGTTTTTAAAGTCGTGATGTTCATCTTTTGTAATTATGCCTTTATTCCCTCTTCTAATTATTGTTTGCACTTTTTCATTTTTTATTATTATTTTCTGTTAATAATTGAAGAAATTTTTTTATAGGTATTCATATGTTGTAATCCCTTAGTTTTTGAGCCTACTCTTCCTTGGTTTTACCATGAATGAATTGGTATTTAACAAGTACTTAGGAACTTCCATTTTAAATCATAAATCCTAAATAAAGCTGATAGCTTTGTGTGAGATTCATCATTGTTCCACATACTGTTAAGTGGATTATCCTCTAAAAAGAGACATGTTTTTACACACCAATCTATTTTTCCCTACCACACACCAATCTAGTTTTGTTATTTTGATATTTTCTAAAAAGAGACATGTTTTTACACACCAATCCATTTCTTTTCCTTTTCAATTTTCGTTGTGTTTATACTTTTTCTGTTTATTCACCACCGTCCCCCCCCCCCCCCCCCCCCCCTTTACTTTTAGACAAATATCATAAAGCACTCTCCATTATAATAAGGCTCTCATTCGTTTAAATTTTACATTAAAATTAAATTAGAAATTATCTAATTAAAACCAAATAAATGGTTTGTTATTTTTTTGGTTTGTTCATTTTTTACAATGTAATAAGTTGACATGTATCTTATTATTAATATTATTATTATTATTAACTTTTTTAATAAAAGATTTTATATGTTATGTTTTTTTCGTTTTTCATAAAATATATTGTATTTTTCATTTTTTTTTTTTCAAAAATCCGCTAACCGTTTATTTTTTCCAAAACAATCTTAATATTTTTTTGAAAGAATATTTCACATTTGCCAAGTTTTTTTTTCGAAAAATAATAATTAAAAATGTCAAATTAAAAAAAAAAAAAAGTAAAATAAAAACAAGGTTTTTTTTCAAGAAAAAACATAAATTTGAGATATAATAAGAAAAAACAAAATATATTACATTTTTGTTATATAATATTTAAAATTTTAACCACTGTTTGGTTTATGACAAAATATAGAGATCAATAAAATATATGTAATATATATTATTAATTAAAAAAAAAATGTCACGTACATACAATCAAATGGCACAGTATTGTAATATTTATTTATTATTATTACATTCTTATTCTCGTTTTTACATTCAGTTGCTACTCCAAATGAATTTAAATCCGATTTGCTACTTTTTTTTTAGTTTGATCCGTTGACTTATATATATATATATATATATATATATATATATATATATATATATATATATATATATATATATATATATATGAGAGAGAGAAAAAAAAAGATAAAAGAGAAAATTACTTTTTCGGAAAACAAGATAAACACAAAGTAACTAATAATTATGATATTATGGTAAGGCGTGCAATAAGATAGACCCTGGGGTAAATTACACCATTCGTCCCTCGTGCAGGTGCCAAAAGGCATGTTTAGTCCCTATTTTCAAAAATTAACTTGGGTCGTCCCTATGTTTGTTTTTTCTTGCATGCTTAGTCCCTATTGACATAAAATGACTATTTTACCCTTAATAATTTCTTTTTTCATTTTTTTTTATTTCTTTATCAGTTTTTAGATTTTTTTTAATAATTAGACTTAATATCAAAGCTTCTACCGTCGCTCCACCTCTTCCCTTCTCTCAACTTCTGTTGCTCCACTGGAACAAACCTAAATTGTATGGAATAAACCCACAGCAAACCTTAAATTACAGCGACATCACCTGGATTAAACCCTAACGAAACTGATTTCAAGTTAAATCCCCTTGAACAAACCATCCACATCGATGCTCAATTTGTGTATGCTGGTGCGGAAGAAATAGAGTTGTCGATGGCGACAATCACCCCCACAAAGGCGACAAATAGTTAGTGTCGATCCCCTTAGGTCTATTTGTGGTTTGGAACTCAGTTTCTCTGATCTCTCCTCTTCTTAGTTCGATTTGTGGTTTGGAAATTTACAATGTTTCTATCATTGTCATTGTGAATAACAAAGCTTAAGGATATGGTCTTGGAGATTTGGTTCAAAAGAGAGAAGGATAGATAAAAGGGGTGAGACAAGAGATGATAACATTGGTGGTGATGAAGATGTTGTCTCCAGAAAGTGAGAGAGGAGATTCTTTTCGACAAAGATGGAGTTTGTTTCCAACGACTTCTACAACCACCCAAAGCCACCGATATGGTGGAGGGGTTTGTGTGTAGCTTTAAGTTATGGGGTTTGATTTTGGGAGATAGGATGGTGGATCAAAGAGAGTTTAGGAGGTGATGACCATGTGAGTTGTTCAGCGAAGTTGAGAGAGATTGAGAGTCTGTGTGTATGTGCTGGCATCGATGTTTCAGAGAAGACAGAAGAGTTTCTTGATGCACATCGGAGGAAGATGAGGTCAGTGAGGTGATGTTCGCCGGAGGAAGATGAAGTCTAAGAGGTGTTGGTGGCGTTTTGGTGTTCCGATTTGAATCTTTTTTCTTCTATGGTACATGTGGGTTCTCGATCTTCTTATTCGGCAACGTTTAGAGCGGTGGTGGTTGGAGGTGAATAGAGCGGTGATCGTGGGAACCTCGGAGGTGAAAATAGTGGTGGTGGTCCGGTGAATTGTGATTTAAAGGGAATGTAGAAGGAAAAGGGGAAATGGAAAGGGAAGGGGTGGGGTATTTTATTTTATTTTCTTTTTATTTTAATACAAAATTAATTATAATTTAATTAAAAATAGAATAATGAGGGCAAAATAGTCTTTTTATGTCTTCCAAAGGATACAACATGCAAATTCAAACTATTGAGGGATGGAACACGCAAGTTTTAGATATATGAGGGACAACCCGAGTTAATTTTTGAAAATAGGGACTAAACGTGCTTTTTGGCACCTGTACGAGGGACGAATGGTGTAATTTACCCTAGATCCTAAATCTAATAATGTATGATAATGGTAGGTTGGTGTGTTCAAAGTAGGACCATTTTTGTTATGATTTGTTTGTGCCTATTAAATTTTGTATGAAATAAAATTTGATTTCTTTGGATGTAGAAAATTTGTTTTTTTTTTTTTTTGTTTTTGTTTTTTTTTTTTGTTTTTGTTTTTTGTTTTTGTTTTTTTTTTTTGCAACTAATTTCTTACTTCATATTAACATGATAGCATGCTAAGTTTTTTTTTTTCTTTTTTTTTTTAAAGCATTTTTATTGCAATGTGTTGAATTTAACATGGTAGCATGCTAATTTTTTTTAATGTGTTTTATTGGCCTTGGTATTGATAAGGCTAATATTACTTGGTGCTGAATTGCAATCCATCCTATTGCATTGTTCTTTTGGTGATATTACTCTTTGTGATATACACATTGTTTTATGACGAGCTCCTGACTCATAGTTAAAAAAAGTTGTTTGATGCTTTAAAATCTGATTTCAATTTGTTTTTCTGTGCATTTAGACCATCATATTTTGTCGGCATGTATTTTTATAGTTTTGTACTAGATAATATATGCACTTTTTACTATTTAATATCACATACATTTAACATAAAGGGGCATTATTAAGCTTTTTTGTCCGGGGCATGAAAAACCAACAGATCGACCCTGATTGTCACTCTAACATGTTTGATTATGATGTTGGATCTTCATGATAAAATAGTATGTGTTGGAGTATTATTTTAGTTAAAAAGATTATAAGTAATGGATGTCACATAGGACATTTACTATGCTAGATTTTTGTTTCTCAAGTTTAGTTGTTTATCGGTCGATGCATAATATTGATGGCCTTATCGTATTAACGGGTGCTTGAGTCGTCAGCTATGATGGTTGTATCCAAGGCCGGTCCAAGCATATTCTAGGCCTGTGGCAAGAACAAAAAAAAAGTCATTTGAGAAAAATATTGTTCTAATGCAACGGTATCAGATATTTTCCTTCTTTTTTGTGATCGAGGCTTTATGTTTTGTTTGAAACATAGATAAAATTAATGATAGTTTAGGAGTGAATTATATTTTTCTGTTAAAAGAAATAGTAATTATATATAAACTAAATTTTTAAAAAAAATTAATACTACCTCCGTCCCAAATTGATAGTCTACTTTTGAATTTTGAAGTCTTTTTTCATCAACTTTGACCTTAAATAGTTTTGTTTTTAATAGATAATACTTGATGCAAAATATATGAATAGATTGTATTTTAAATATTTTTTTTTATTGTTATAAGTTTTATCAAGTAATATATAACATAAATAAAAATATTTAAGGTCAAAGTTAAAGAAAAAAGACTTAAAAAGTCAAAAGTGGACTATTAATTTGGGACGGAGGGGGTAATAATAAACTATCATCAAGTTCTAAAATTGGGCCTCAGGAATAAAACTCAATTTATTAATTCATCGTGAGTAGGATTCTTATAAAAATAGATAAATAACTATCTTTTATATCATAAGAAAATAAATAGAATTGTTAATATATATATATATATATATATATATATATATATATATATATATATATATATTAAAGAAGTGAACCTTAGGAACAGTAAAGTTCCTAAGGGGTTGAGAGAACTGGTTCTCCTATTTTGCCTTTTGAACATTTTTGAATATCTGATCAGTGGTCAACTGTTTCATCAGGTTACGTGTTCCTCTTCTATGCATCACCGCCTCCCCCATCCAATTACGTTCCTCACCGCTTGCTTGATTACGTGTAGTCATCGACTTCTGACACCACCAAATACGTGCCTTCTTCTCTTTCTTTCACGGTCTCATCTTTTATTTTAGAGGTTTTTATTGAAAGATGAATTTTGATCGTCCTCTTCATCTGTTCCCATGTTCGATTGAAGCTTCCATCACCGTTCGCCTGCTTTTCTGGTAAATGGAATTCATCCCCAAAATACACAGCCTCTTCTCATCTTCTCGCCTGACCATCTTCCTCTATGATTTAAAAGGTTTTTTTTTTTTGACAAATTTCATCATTTATGAACCCTTAATCTCCAATAGACAAGTTCACCTGTCGAAGTCGGACAAGCATAGCTGAAACAATTAGGCTATTACTCCCAATTTATATTGATCTAAATTGTATCCAAGCTTCGATTCACCATTTCCCTCTTCTAATAACTGATATGTGTCTCACTGTCTCCCCCCACAGTTTGTTCGCAAGGTTAGTTGTGTTTGTGTTCAGGATTCGACTGAGCTTAAAAACGGATTTCTTCCACTTAATCAGGTTTGTTCGATTTTTACCACCGCTATTTTATGTTTCTCACCGGAAACAGAACGCGGTGATTATCTCAATTCCTTTCAATTGGTCCCCGATTATATGCTTTGTTGCCGAATATATGGCCTCCACAAACCCTATGCAGACTCCATCGTCTTCTACTTCTTCCCAAGTGGATTGACCTTATGTTTTTATATTATAATATATACCCGACTTCATCTCTTCTTCCGTTGAAGAACTACTCCAGAATCTTTTATGTAATATAGTCACTCATCTTCTTTTAACTATTTTCTATATTCTTTGTTTTTCATTACAGTATTCAACAAGAGTGTTAGTTTCCGGTTTAAAATTGCTCCCTGATTATAAACTCTCTCTTGCTGACTGTGAAGCCTCCAGAAGCCCGCCGACACTCCACTATCATCTACTTCTTCCGGACTGGATTTCGCCTCAACTATGGTGGGTCAAAGAGCTTATAATCTGAATCTAACTTCAAATAACTATATCTGGAAAACCCTTAAAAGGAAGAAGGCATGTAACCGATAGCTTGACTCCATTTTTAGGTATATTTTTTTGTCTTAAGAATTATTTACTGTTTTGGCCTTTACAAAACTATAATTATGAAGTTAGGACTTTGTTTGTGAATTTTTTTTGTTATTTTGGTATGGATCGATCATTCATTATTGAATACTGATTTCCGTTGTTTTATGTAAAAACTTATCTCTTTGATCAATTTCAATCGGCTCAATCAGGCATTTCAATTAGCTCAGTGAGGGGTTAAAGAGTGGTTTACATGAGGGGATACTTCTATCCTTTAACCATCTTCCAAATTGGGTATGAACTTTTTCTTTACCGTATCAAATGCACACTAATTAACTATTTGGATTGAACCGGTCGTTTTCTAATGAACTTCTTGAGCTGGATAGATCGATATGAATGATCACAGGTAAGTTATATTTTTAGAGCTTTTGGGTTTGTTAAGGATTTGTTTTATTTTCTTGTTGTACATTGCTTTTCATGTTATATAATTATGAGGTAATGGAATTTTATCTAAGGGAAAGATCACTTCTTGATATGAGGTAGTTTTTCCATTTTGATTTTGCACCTTATCCGTTGTTTTTGAAAAAAAAAACATATAAGATTGTTGTTTATAATGTTTATTATGATTTTCAGGAACCAATGTAAAGATAGCTCCAGTTCCTTCAATTGTGGTAGTACTAAACTCTGATACCTTTGAGGAGATTGTATTCAATGCCAAAAAGGATGTGTTGGTTGAATTCTATGCACCCTGGTCAACCATTTTTTTAGTTTTGTTAGATGTTTCATGTTCTCCACCATCCTTACTAAAATGCTTATTCTTTTATTCCACCTTAACATCATAATCAAAAACATTTCAGAGTACAAAGCTATGACACTAATTTGTTGATTACAGTTGATTCACATCTTACAATCTTCACTCTTGTAAAATGCTCTTTACATTTAAAGTCTGCATTTGTTACACAAGACAAGATTTGAGAAGCTCTGTAGAGCTATTTTCAAAGATGATTATGAGAATAGGGACTAAGATTACCATTACAGCACACTAATAGTAATTATCTTTTTTTTTTAATCAGGTTTATGAAAGTCTAGCAGCTGCTTATAAAAATGAGAAAGATGTAGTTATTTCCAATCTTGATGTCGACAATTATAAGGATCTTAGTGAAAAGTAAGTAACAGTTATTAAATTGGGTCTTTTTTGAAATCATGAAACATTGGGTGTTTGTTTTTAACTTTTTTTTTATATATATTTTTGTGAGTTATGATGAAGATTATATCTGTTGATGCACGTATGGTGTAAATGGTTACCCAACAATTAAGTTCTTCCCAAAGAACAACAAAGATGGTGAAGACTATGAAGATGGACGCGATATAGATAGCTTTGTGACCTTCATAAATGAGAAATGTGGCACTAGCCGTTATGCCAAGGGTCAACTTACTTCCATTGTTAGTGTTTGACTTCAAATTTGATCTCAAAAAAAGAACATTTATTATTGTATTGTTTTATTATCCGTTACACATGCCACATTTTGTTTTTGTGGTGAATGTAGGCTGGTTTAATTGCAGAATTGGATAGCTTAGTGAAGGAGTTTGTGATAACTAGTAGTGATGAAAAGAAAGCATTATATGTTAAAGATCATCACTAGCCCAATAAAACAAATATTATTTAGAAGATTTTAGCTTGTTCTAGAATGCTCTAGAAGATTCTAGAACATTATGGAAGACTATGGAAGGCTCTGGAATATACCGGAAGAGTCTAGAATACTCTAGAACGACATGGAAGACCCTGGAAGGATATGGATTATTGTAGAAGACACTGGAGCAACCTAGACCTCTCCAGAACATGGTAGAACGTTCTAGAAACATATGGAAGCATGTAGAGTATGTTAGATAGTTCTAGAGTTATCTAGTATGTAGTAAGTGTATGTTAGTATCTAGAACCTTCCTAAGAGGCCTATAAATAGGTATGGAGCTCATTTGCTCCAAACCATCCAAGAAAGCCTCAAAGAAAGCAAGGTGTGTAGTAGTCTCACAAAGTGTAAGATCTTCTTAAGCATCTTAATAAACGTCCTGTTGCTTCCGACATAAAGAGTCGTGTTCAACAATCTGGTATCAGAGTAAGGTTTCTTGATAGTGAGAACGAGTGATTCTCGTTGAATCGTGAGTAGTTTGTGACTCTGCAAGTTTAGTGTCGAAACTAGCTTGTTTGGTATTGCCGAGGTACTTCCAACACGATGGATGATCTCCAAATCATCGGAGGAATCAAGAAACTCAACAACAACTACAAAACGTGGGAAACATATATGAAGCCCTACTTACAAGGATAAGATCTATGGGAGGTCATTGGTGGAAGCGAAATTACGCCACCAGAGGAAGACGTTAATGGTGCTTTGCGCAAATGGAAAATCAAAGCAGACAAAGCAATGTTTTCCTTGAAGACCACAATCGAAGAAGAGATGTTGGAGCATATGCGGGATGAGAACACCCCGAAAGAAGCTTGGGACATGTTTGTGACGCTTTTCTCAAAGAAGAATGATACGAGACTACAACTTTTGGAGAACGAGCTATTATCAATCTCACAACGTGATATGACGATTTCTCAATATTTCCACAAGGTCAAGTCGACATGTCGGGAGATTACTGAACTAGATCTGCAATCCGTCATTGCAGAAGCTCGAATGAAGAGGATCATTATCCATGGACTGAGGCCGGAATATAGAAGCTTTGTTACTGCTGTACAAGGATGTCCCGTTCAACCATCACTTGTAGAGTTTGAAAATTTGTTGGCTAGCCAAGAAGCTATGGCTAAGCAAATGGGAGGCATCACGCTGAAGAGTGAAGAAGAAGCACTCTACACAAGTAAAAATCGGAGGAATTTCAAGCCACCTTCTAAAGAAGGATACAAAAATGCTGACAAAGGGAAGAGTCAGCCAGGAACCTCACAACCATGGAGATCTTAAAAGACCGACAATAAGAGTTCTCGGGGGAGGAGGTTCGAAGGCAACTGCAACAACTATGGAAAGTGGGGCCACATGTCCATGGATTGTTGGTTAAAGAAAAAGTCTGTGGAAAGTAATGTCGTAACTTCCAAAAAGGAAATAGAGGATGAATGGGATGCTGAGGCATTATGTGCCATAGAAGAAAACGAGTTGGCACTCATGACAATGACGGGAGAGCGTATCAACTATTAAAATGACTGGATCATTGATTCAGGATGCTCCGATCACATGACTGGAGATCAGAACAAACTACAAGACGTGAAGGAGTATAAAGGGAGTCGCATGGTATTTACAGCCAACAATGCACGACTTCCAATTGCTCAGATTGGAAAAATAACGATCATGCCTGGTAATAAATCTGACATGGTATCACTACATAATGTCTATCACGTGCCAGGTATGAAGAAGAACTTGTTGTCGGTATCGCAACTAACATCGTCAGGCAACTACGTCTTGTTTGGCCCACAAGATGTGAAGGTCTATTGAGATCTTAAAATATCAGAAAAGCCAACAATGGAAGGACGGAGAGTGGAGTCCATTTATGTGCTCTCAGCGGAGTCTGCATATGTAGACAAGACTTGAAAGAATGAGACATCTGATATATGGCATGCACGATTGGGACATGTTGGCTATCACAAGTTAAAGGTAATAATGGAGAAATCCATGCTTAAAGGCTTACCTCAACTTGAAGTCAAAACAAATATTGTTTGTGTTGGATGCTAGTATGGTAAAGCTCATCAATTACCATACAAGGAGTCAAATTTTAGAGCAAAGAAGTCACTAGAGTTAATTCACTCAGATGTGTTCGGTCCAGTCAAGCAGACATCAGTTAGCGGGATGCGGTACATGGTGACGTTCATTGATGATTATTCGAGATATGTGTGGGTTTTCTTCATGAAAGAAAAATCTGAAACATTCTCAAAGTTTCTAGAATTCAAGACAATGGTCGAAGGAGAAGTGAGAAAGAAGATTCAGTGTCTACGCTCAGACAATGGAGGAGAATACACCTCAGAAAAATTCAATCGCTATCTGAAAGAATGTGGTATACGTCATCAATTCACATGTGCCAACACACCTCAACAAAATGGTGTAGCTGAGAGAAAGAATCGACATCTTGCAGAAATTTGCCGAAGCATGCTACACGCGAAGAATGTCCCAGGAAGATTTTGGGCTGAAGCAATGCGAACTGTTGCCCATGTGATCAATAAACTTCCCCAACCAAGGTTAGGTTTCATCTCACCATTTGAAACACTATGGAACATGAAACCTACTGTTAGCTACTTCCGAGTATTTGGCTGCGTCTGCTACGTATTTGTGCCTAGCCAGTTACGTAGCAAGTTTGACAAGAGAGCAGTTAGGTGTATATTTGTTGGATACGACAATCAAAGAAAAGGGTGGAGATGTTGTGATCCAACAAGTGGAAGATGCTACACTTTAAGAGATGTAGTGTTTGATGAAGCATCTTCATGGTGGTCCTCAGAGAAGAAAGTACTACCAGACTCGGAAAATATTGAAGAAGTTCTAAAACAAAAGATGGGGGAGCAAACTGCACATATTTGGTCAACTGTTGATACACCTGAAGATCCGAGCGACACTGATTTCATTGAGCAAGAAGTAACTCAAACAAGTGATGCCGGTGAAAGGGAGCCGCCGCCTCCACAACTTCGAAGGACGGAAAGAATCCGAAAGCCTAATCCCAAGTATGCTAATGCGGCCAGTTTAGAAGACGGTGTTAAAAAGCCGGAGACATATGAAGAAGCAATTAAGAATAAAGCTTGGCAGAAGGCAATGGAAGAAGAAGTTACAACCTTAGAGCAGAATCAAACTTGGGAACTAGTACCAAGACCAAGAGATTTAAAACCCATTTCCTGCAAGTGGGTTTATAAAATAAAGCGTCGTCCAGATGGATCAATTGAGAGATACAAGGCTCATCTGGTGGCTCGAGGGTTCTCACAACAATATGGATTGGACTATGATGAAACATTTAGTCCAGTGGCGAAGATAACTACTGTACGGGTGTTGTTAGCTCTTGCAGCTAGTAAAGACTGGAAATTATGGCAGATGGATGTGAAGAATGCTTTCTTGCATGGAGAATTAGACCGAGAGATCTACATGAACCAACCAAAGGGATTTGAGGATGAAGTTAATCCCAATCATGTGTGCAAGTTGAGAAAAGCTCTTTACGGATTGAAGCAGGCACCAAGAGCCTGGTATGGTAAGATTGCTGAATTTCTTACCCGAAGTGGTTATTCAGTTGCTCATGCAGACTCAAGCCTGTTCGTCAAAGAAAAAGAAGGGAAGTTGGCAATTGTGTTGGTTTATGTGGATGACTTGATCATCACCGAGGATGACGAAAGAGAAATCCATCAAACAAGAGAAAATCTATCGGTGCGATTCCAAATGAAAGAGTTGGGGGAGCTTAAACAGTTCTTGGGGTTACAAGTTGATTGTACAAAGGAAGGGTTGTTCCTCTGCCAACAAAAGTATACAAGAGATATACTTCAAAAGTTTGGCATGTTGGAGTGTAAGCCAATATCAACACCAATAGAGCCAAATGCCAAGATATGTGCTCATGAAGGAAAAGAGTTGGACGATGGAATGATGTATCGACAACTAGTTTATCTCGGCCTAACATTGCTTATGCAGTTGGAGTTATGAGTCGATACATGCAAAGTACGAAGAAACCTCATTTGGATGCTGCCCGACGGATCTTGAGATATGTCAAAGGTACAATTGAATATGGTCTCTTGTATAAAAGAGGAGAAGACTGCAAGTTGGTTGGATATTGTGATGCTGACTATGCAGGAGACCATGATACCCGAAAATCAACCACTAGGTATGTGTTCAAGCTTGGGTCGGGACCAATATCATGGTGTAGTAAAAGACAACCAACAATATCATTGTCAACCACGAAAGCGGAGTACAAAGCAGCGGCCGTAGCAGCTCAAGAAAGTACATGGTTGGTACTCCTAATGGAGGACTTACATCAAAAAGTTGACTATGCAGTACCACTTCACTGTGACAACCAATCTGCAATTCGGCTGGCAGAAAATCCAGTATTTCATGCTAGAACAAAGCATGTGGAAGTGCATTATCACTTTATCAGAGAGAAAGTCTTGATGGAAGAAATTGAGATGCGGCAGATCAAGACCGATGACCAAATAGTAGACTTGTTCATCAAAGGGCTGAGTACTGGAAAATGTGAAGGTTTTCGCTGTCAGCTTAACATGGTAGGAAGAATGAGGGCTAGTGTTGAGGGGGAGTGTTAAAGATCATCACTAGCCCAATAAAACAAATATTATTTAGAAGACTTTAGCTTGTTCTAGAATGCTCTAGAAGATTCTAGAACATTATGGAAGACTATGGAAGACTCTGGAATATACTGGAAGAGTCTAGAATACTCTAGAACGACATGGAAGACCCTGGAAGGATATCGATCATTCTAGAAGACACTGGAGCAACCTAGACCTCTCCAGAACATGGTAGAACGTTCTAGAAACATATGGAAGCATGTAGAGTATGTTAGATAGTTCTAGAGTTATCTAGTATGTAGTAAGTGTATGCTAGTATCTAGAACCTTCCTAAGAGGCCTATAAATAGGTATGGAGCTCATTTTCTCCAAACCATCCAAGAAAGCCTCAAAGAAAGCAAAGTGTGTAGTAGTCTCACAAAGTGTAAGATCTTCTTAAGCGTCTTAATAAAAGTTTTGTTGCTTCCCACATAAAGAGTCGTGTTCAACATTATATGCTAAGATTGAGGAGGAAGTTGGAAAAGTCACTGGTTATCTTTTTATTCATTTTTTTTATTAACATTTAACATGTTTGTTGAATATATATATATATATATATATATATATATATATATATATATATATATATATATAATACATTTTTTATACATGTGTTTTTTATTAGATATGGAAAGATATACGTGAAAGATGCCAAAAGTAGTCTGAGCAAAGGTTGTGATTATGCTAACAATGAGATCCAACATCTAGAACGTATTCTTTCTAAGGTAAAATTCAATTCAATCAAATATTTTTTTGGCTTAACCCATTAAGTCATGTCTCTGTTGTCTGATTGTATTTAAATTGTGTTATTGTTGCAGTCGATTAGCCCTACAAAGGCGTATGAATTTACCCTCAAGAAAAACATTTTATCTGCTTTTGCATGATAAATGATTGGAATCAGTCGTTACTACGAGTTCAAAGAGATGTTTGATCTCTTCTTTTATTAGTGGTAGTCTCCAGAGTTTACTTTGTTTTTTATTTTTTGATTTGGTCGGGGCACATACTATTATACTAACAATAGGGGAGAAAATGGCTATTATGTAGTACCATCACCAGCAACATTAGAAGTGAAACATGCAGAAACATTCTCAGATACAATATTAAACACATGATAACGAAATTGTAGAAATCACTTAATAATAAATATTAATTTTGTTTCTGTTATAAATAATTATTCACTAATACTAGATATTACATAATTATAATGATTTAACAAAAAAACATAAAAGATTTTATAATACCACCTGACTCACAAACAATGATCATAAATATGATAACATAAAACATAATACAAACGATTATAGTGATTTAACAAAAAAACAAAAAAAAAAAATTTGTAATACAAACCGACCTCCGCAACGCGAGGGCAACTCTTTTCTAGTTTATAATTAGATTTTTGTGTAATATAAAAAAATAATTTGAATAATTGAAGTGTGTAAACTATAAATTAACTATTTACATCTGTGTGTAAACCAATATTTAGGCCGACAGCTATGTAAAGTTTAAAATCCTACCTAATAAATGAAAACACTTCTCCCAAATGTTACCACCTCATTCAATATGCCACATGGCATTTTCTCTATTTTTTAAATTTTTCTAAATTCCACTTGTCAATTTGTGGTTCTTTGCTTTTTCATTATTCTACCAGTATATACATCTTTTACTGCACATTTACTGCATTTTTATGATATTTAAAGAAAGTTTAATGTATCATTAAAGTGTCCGGTAAGAAATCAATCGATGATTACATTCAAAAATAAACCTTCCCATATTACAAACATAAATTTCGGCAATACCTTTGAAATTCAAGGCAATCCCTTTCATTCATAATAATATTTCGAATATTGTATATTTTCAAATTAAAGTTTGATCTCCTCCCCAAAATAATTTTTATAATTTATGTATCACTACATTCCATTTTGTTTTTTTATCACCGTTTCTTCAAAGATCAAGTTCACAGCATCGTCTTCCAAATCTCTGCATCATCATAGTGTAATACGGACTTTTCTACATCAGGTTACCAAAGTCTTTTGAGTTAATGATAAATTATTGTGCAAATCATGTCATTATCAGTTTAGAATAATTAACTTTAGACTCGGAAATATTTGTTTCAATCTGACTACAAAAGTCTTTTCGTCTTTTCCTTCTTTTTTTACTTCTTCACTAGAAATTTGAATATATGTTGCTGATATTTGTTGATTTTTTATTGGCCAAGTCAAAAGAAAATCTTAAAAGTTTGTTAATTTACTATCTACTATCCTAACGTTTAGTTCACACAACATAAAATAGTTTTTAAGAAAATATGCAAAAAAAATCTTAATTTCATTCGAGTGGTAGTATTTTTAACATTTTTTACAAAGGAAAGTACTATGTTGTACTTAAGGAAGTCTTTGGAAATTTGTACTTCATAAAAATAAGTATCAATATTTTAATAGTTGTTTTTATTATTATACATTAACTTACTTATTCATCGTTTTTTTTATATGTAGCAAGTTTTAATTAATTCATGTTTAATGTTTACATCATTATTATCGTCATCATTTTACAAATATTTACCATTTTATTAGGGTAAATATATTAAAATAGTTACTTTATTCATTATAGAATTTTGTATTTATGTAAAATTATTACAAAAAAAACATGTAATTCTTATTAATTTATATTAATTTTTTAATAAAACCCGTGTAATACACGGGTCTCACACCTAGTAACTTTATATATACAAATTATAATAACATTTAATATTATAAATACAAAAAATTATGCACATTAACAGAATTGAACTTGGGACATGCCCGTTCTTCTCTACGAAGGAAGCGCCATTTATAAAAATTAAAATCTTTTTTAGGCCCCAATCAAATGGTGGGTCATGGGCCGTCGCCAGCTTGCCCATCCTCACGGGCCGGGCCTGAAAATAACACTGCCAATATATAAATATTAACGTAATTCTTTTTTGGGCCCTAGGCCGTCGCCCAGCCTGCTCACCCTTACGGGCCGGGCCTGGTTGTACGTAGTGAAAATGATGGTTATAACTGTCAAAGCTTGGACTGCCAATTTGTCATATACAGCTTGCTAACAACTGTTAGTTTGTTTTTTAGTGTTAAGTCGGTTACAAAACTCGTTTTTTATTTAATAATTAAAATTGATGACAAAATTTAGGGATGTGCTTCGGGACGAAACCAACCCGAACAGATCCGAACCCGAACAACCCGAAACCCGAATTGGATGAAAAGTGGGAACTTAAACCCAGACCGATTATACTAATACGGGACCGGTCCGCTTCAGGTGATACGGGTTTCGGTTGGGGTATTTACCCGAAAGGACCGAAATAACCCAAATAAACATTAACAATATGTTTTTTTACCCGAATAACCCAAATCAACCGAAATGACCTAAATAACCCAAATAAAAAATTATATATCTAGTTTAACAAAAAAAAATACTTAACGTTAATAATTTATATTCCAAAAATCCATAATTCATGATTAAACATTAAACATCCAAATTAAAATATGAATCTTAAGTTTTTTGCAAAATAACAATGACCAAATACAAATTAACTATTTGGGAATATTGATTGGTTGTTTTCCCTTTTCATCTCCATTATTTATCGCGTTTTCAAACTCTTTCGCAACGTCATCATCTTTCAAAACTTCATCAATGTTGTCCACAATTGGCTTCCTTGATTTCCTTATCCAATCTTGGGTGCAAACCAATGCCTCTAATATATTAGCGGACAAATTTGTTCGATATGGATCTAATATCCGTCAACTTGTACTAAAAGCAGTCTCGGACGCCACAGTAGAAATTTGTAGTCCCAAAATATCTATCAACATAAACAAAGAAAGTGTTAAAATATATTTATAAAAAAAAAAAGCATACAAATAAATAAAGTTATACATTTCGCCATACGAGCTAGAATAGGGTAAAGAGATGCATTTTGTTTCCACCAAAGTAGAATGTCAAAATCTTTATTGTATTTAAGTGATTGCTCGTTTAGGTGTCGTGTCAACTCCGTTTCTGTAGATGCTGATGGTTAATCCGTTTGTACTATTAAATCACCCATGAAGTCATTCTCATCATCAAGCATAAGTACATCTTCATAAGCACGTGTTTGACTTTGAGAAGACTCGGTATTGTCGAACATTACTTTGTAGAAATTAAAAAATTTCTCAATTTTTTTTTCAATGTCCTGTATTAAGGTATTAGCCTTCAAAGTGACCTCCGAGTTTAATATGGGAGGTTCTCCAATATTCTTCAACCTAATAAACTTCTCAAAGGCTTGTTTAAAAACTCAAACTTTAACCGTGGATCTAATATGGTCGCAAAGTACAAAAAGTCATTTAATTTTTTAAGGTCGCCCCAATACTTTTCATATTTGTCAATCATATCCTTCCCGTTCAAGCAAAATTGGGAAGTTGACACCCAATCTCTAATGTGCTTGTACACATCGTATATTTCTGGAAAAAAAAACGATGTGTCATAGGTTTTTTTGACGTCGATATTATTTCGGTTTTTACCTTGAATTTCTCAAGAAATCTAACCATAGCTCTACAAATTTTGAAATCTTCTTCTACGGGGGACACAACATCTCGAACATATGTAGGATCTATTAAAATAAAATAAGTGTTAGTTAAAAAAAAAAACGCAACTTTAATACCCCCTGTTTAAGGGCATGTATCCCATTGAATATACACCTAAAAATAGCATAAAATAGTATAAACTGAATGTTAACTTATGATCTACATGCTGGGAAAAAAATCAGGCAAATTGGACAGATAATGAAGAAGATATGACAATTCAAAGTGGACACAAAAATCTACAAACTTGCTGAATCAGAAAAAACAACTTCAATACCTCATGCTTACGGGCCTATATCTCATTGACTATACAACCAAAAATAGCATTAAAATAGTGTAAACTGAAGGTTAACTTGTGATCCACATGCTGGAAAAAAAATTAGGCAAATTGGACAGAAAATGAAGAAGATATGACAGTTCAAAGTGGACATAAAAATCTACAAGCATGCTGAATCAGAAAAAACAGCTTCAATAACCCATGTTTAAGGGTCTATATATCTCATTGAATATACAACCTAAATAGCATAAAAATAGTGTAAACTGAATGTTAAATTGTGATCTACATGCTGGAAAAAAAAATCAGGCAAATTGGACAGATAATGAAGAAGATATGACAGTTCAAAGTGGACATAAAAATCTACAAACATGTTGAATCAGAAAAAACAGCTTCAATACCCCATGTTTAAGGTCCTATATCTCATTGAATATACAACCAAAAATAGCATAAAAATAATGTAAACTGAATGTTAAATTGTGATCTACAAGTTGGGAAAAAAAATCACGCAAATTGGACAGATAATGAAGAAGATATGACAGTTCAAAGTGGACATAAAAATCTTCAAACATGCTGCTTTTAAAAAAAAAACAAAAAACAATGGAATGGAATGGAATGTGTAATTACCTTTAACTTCGAACTTTCCAAAAACCTTCTCCAACTCCACCGCAATCTTCAATAACTCGTATGTGGAGTTCCATCGGGTTGGGGAATCATTACACAAAACCTTCTTGGATTCCACATTTAACTCTTTCATGCATTCTTTGAACATTTGAATCTGTTGAGTGGAATTCCTAATATTTCTAACGGCCTTTTGGATGCACTTAATACTAGATTGGTGTTCATCAAACCCATCCTTAACAATAAGACTTAGGATGTGGGCCATACACCTTACGTGTAATTATTTCCCCCCATCGTATAAGTTTGGTAGTTTTTTCATTAGAAATTTAGTTGCTTTATCATTTGTAATAACATTGTCTATAGTTATGATCATTACATTATAGATACCCTATACTTCAAGACAAGTCAACAACGTGCGCCCAATGTCTTCTCCCTAATGACTATCCAAAGATTTAAAGTTGATAACTCTTTTGTGCATGACCCAATCTTTATCAATAAAGTGGGCCGTGATCACCATATAGCTCGATTGTTGACAGGAACTTGTCCAACAATCGGTGGTCAAATGCACATTCATTAGGGGATTACTAAAGAACTTATTCAACTTTGCCTTTTCTTCAACATAGTAATCGGCAACTCTTTTTGAAATTGTGGTTCTACATGGCAAAACCACTTTCTCGTTCAATGCATTGGTATACTCAATAAATGTTTCATTCTCTACAAACTTGAACAGTAATTCTCCAACTACAAATAAGTTTAACAAAGCTTTTTTTTGTTCTTTTCTCATCATGCTTCCAAGTGACAATACTATTCTCCCCATTTTCATTTTTTTGAAATTTAAAGTGCTTTGCTTTTTTAAATTTTCTTCTAAATTTTTTGGGTTTTGTTTACAATTTTTTGTATGTCTAATCATACTAGATGTACCGTTTTCGTTGGACTCAGTTTTGAGCAACGTCTCACCATTTGCATTTGCTATGTTGAATGTTGTTAACCTTAACTTCATCATAATCGGCCCAACAAGCCGCTCTTTTGGCATATTTTTTCTTCTTCTTTGTTGTTTGACCTTTTCCGTCTTTGTTGTCAATTTGAGTGTTATCAACCAAAACATTTTCATCATCAATCTAAAACACAATAACAAAATAATTTTAATATCATAAAATAGAAAAATATGTTCTTTAACATTGAAATACAATCATTAATCTAAATTACAACAAGACAATGATTTACAATCACATAATACATTGAAATAGATTAGCAATTTTAACATAGAATATTGTATTTAATATGATAAAATAGCAATGATAACACTTTGAAAGAATAAGATCATAACAATTAAAAGAAAAACAGTAGATTAAGATAATAATGCTTACTTGAGTTTGTTGACTTGGAACCCTATTATCCATGATTTAGAATGATTCCTGGAAGATGAAGATTGGAATTCGATTTCTTGATAGTAGAGTGTAGGTCGATTTCTTGAATGCTTGACTAGATTTTTTTTTTGGTGATCGATGACAGTAAACGAGGAAGTAGGAACGATCGATGAGAGTAAAGCCGATGAATCAATGAGTCGATGGAAAATGGGCAGTGGGCACGATCGATGACAACAAGGGTGAAACAATGATCGACTAGGGCAAACTCGCTTTTTTTTAAACTTCGATGATAGCGGGATTTGGGATACGTTCATAGCGGGATACGGGTCTTTTCTCTTTAGCACGACAATATTACTTGCTATGCAATACGCACGGCCAAAGTGACCTTTCATTTTCCAGGCCGGTCTTTTTGGACCAATTAAATCTTTATTCAGGTAGCCCGAACCGAATAACCCGAAACCCGAATTGGGCAAAAATAAATACACGAGAACCAACCCAAATAACTTATTCGGTCCTAATTCGGGTCGGTCCGATCCGGGTTTCAGTTTTGGTTCGGGTATTCGGTCCAAACGCACATCCCTACTTGCTATGCAATACGCACGGCCAAAGTGACCTTTCATTTTCCAGGTCGGTCTTTTCGGCCCAATTAAATCTTTATTCGGGTAACCCAGATCAAATAACACAAAACCCGAATTGGGAAAAAATAGATACCCGAAAACCGACCCAAATAACTTATTCGGTCCTAATTCGGGTCGGTCCGGTTCGGGTATTCGGTTTAAACGCACATCCTTGCTGACAAAAGAATGGAAAAACTTGTACAAAAGCAAAACAAAGTAACAAAATTCCAATACAAGATGCATGTGTAGTACAAAAATTGAGTGGTTCCAAGAATTTATGTAAAAGAGCGGTTAACACCATAGACTATGAATCGCAAACACAAATTTATTTTACTTCACAAAATATAAAGTGAGCCTAAAGGCTTGATGATTGCTTCTAATTTAGCATCTAAAGCTAAGTATATGCTCATGTAGCTCCTTCTAACTCTCTAATTTGATTAAACATTTAAAGCTGAACAAAAGTTTGTTGTTAAGTTATGAATTTATCAAACATCAAAACATTATGATATGACTAATTATTAAGCATCATGCATAGTTTTTCTAGACAAAGAAATGTGGTGTTAATATTATCACCTTAAATAAAATATATACTTACTTTATGTACCTGTTGCATTGATATTAATATAATCTAGTCTTTTGTGCACCTTAAAAAGGATTGTCATTTTACAGGAGGAAGTCTCGAAAGGACATCACTCCCAATTAAACAGCAATCAGGTGTCTACAATAGATTTAGAATAGTAGTATCATTAGATGTCAATCAAATACTAATGCATCCAAAGAATGTATACAAGAATGGAGAGTGGGAAAAGGCAAAAAAGGTATAAATTTTAAAAAAAAAAAAAGTCAAATCTAGTCGTAAATGAAAAGTAAAAGTGCATTTTGTCTGTTGGCAAATAATACTTTCAGAAAGCAAGATGAGTTACTAAATTTATACATAATACAATGAAAATCAAAAGGAAATATGACTTATCAAGGTAATTAACTTTTGGGTATGTTCACATCTGGGTAATTATCTTTTTTTTGTACATATCTAGGTAACAAACTCTTTGGAAGTGTTCATATATGACCATTATGACCTGCTATAGCAGGTTAAATCCTAGATGTGAACGTTTTCGACAAGTTTGTTACCTAGATGTGTACAAAAAAAATAGTTACCCAAATATGAACAAAACGAAAATTAAAAATTAAATTACATGAATGGTCCCTGTGGTCTGGGGGAATTTGTGGTTTTGGTCGCTAACTTATTTTTTTAACTTAAATGATCCTTACTGTTTATTTTGTTGCGCGTTTGGTCCCCGTCTCACCTAAAAATACTATTGTGCCCTTATTAATTTATTTTTTAATTATTTTTCTTATCTATGTATTTATTTTTTACATATTTAAAAAAATTAATAAACCACACATATTTGTATCTCCTCGGATGATCCCTACTGTTTATTTTTAATTAATTTATTTTTTTTAACTCGGATAATCCCTACTGTTTATTTTTGTTACGTGTTTGGTATCTGTCTTATCTAAAAATACTATTTTTCCCTTATTAATTTTTTTAATTAATTTTCTTATTTATGTATTTATTTTTTATAAAAAAATTAATATACCCCATATATATGTATCTCATCACCGTAAACCTGAAACCACATTTGAGAAACTTAATTTGAGTCTTACCATTCACCATCTCATCTCTGATCATCCCCATCTTCTATTTCTTTTCCATCTTTAGTAACATCGACGTCTTCACCATCCTTTTTTTTTTGGTACTTCTGGCGAACCAACACCATAACCTACTGTCTCTTCATCTTTAGTGGGTTGTGGTGTTGATTCGACGGAGTTGAAGGACCGAAAAAAAAAGTGATGATGAAGACGTCGATATCACTAAAGATGAAAAACAAATAGAAGTTGAGAATGATGAAAAATTGGATGGTGAGGAGATATAGATATATGGGGTCTACTAATTTTTCTTAAACATATAAAGCATAAGTACATAAACAAGTCAATTAATTAAAAAAAATTAATAAGGGCACAATAATCTTTTTAGGTAAGACAGAGATCAAGTTCGTAACAAAATTAAATAGTAGGGACCATCCGAGTTAAAAAATTAAATTAATTAAAAAATAAATAGTATGGATCATCCGAGGAGATACAAATATGTGTGGTCTATTAATTTTTTTAAATATGTAAAAAAATAATTACATAGATAAGAAAATTAATTAAAAAAAATTAATAAGGGCACAATAGTATTTTTAGGTAAGACGGGGACCAAACGCGCAACAAAAATAAACAGTATGGACCATTTAAGTTAAAAAAATAAGTTAGCGACCAAAACCACAAATTCCCTCAAACCACAAGGACCATTCATGTAATTTAATTTTTACTTTTCGTTATGTTCATATTTGGGTAACTATTTTTTTATACATATCTAGGTAACAAACTTGTTGAAAGCGTTCACATTTATGATTTAACCTGCTATAGCAGGTCATAATGGTCATATGTGAACACTTCTAAAAAGTTTGTTACCTATATATGTACAAAAAAAAGATAATTACCCAGATATGAACATACCGAAAAGTTAATTACCCTGACAAGTCATATTCCCAAATCAAAAGTTACATGGACTCTATTTTTAACTTCTTGGAACAGCAGATGCAGTTCTCTGTTTTTGCTATGTTTTTGCATAACCTTTATAGGATGTCTCTTGATGAAAACAAGAACTTCTCTTCCTCTTTGGGTTTAATCAAATCTAGAAAACAAGTAAATATCAGAAAATAAATCATATAATAATTCCTATTGAGTTTGCCTTTAGAAATTAAGTAATCAATTTCACAATGAGATAAATGTATACCTATATATCAAGATTCTATTTTAAACAAATTTAGAACAAGAAAAACTGAAGTAAAAATTTATAGGGGTTTGTGAGTCTGATAGAAGCAAACCTTGTAAACAGAAGCAGCACCATATAAAAGTCTTCCTTTGAAAACCATCAAATTGCGTTCACTGACCTTTCATCTTTTATTGCTTGGCTGTAAGTGTGTAAGTGTGAGAATAATACATTTAAACTCGATTAATTAGCCATGAATTTAAATCAAATACTGTCGAAATGAAATTAGACAAATGTACACCTAAAGATAAAGAAGAATGCTGTTCATAACAGTTTCGCAAATATATGGAATCATATTTTGAAGAATTAAAGGTGTGAAAATAGACGTATTTAATGAAAATCCATTATCATTAATCATGGGTCAATTGCATCACTTGTTACACAACATATAGATTGGCATTATAACATGGGTTCAACCCTGGTGGCTCTTAGACGATACATCATCAAATATATTCATGATTTTAACATATTTGAGCTGGTTTGTCTATACTTTATTAAATTATTATTATCATAATTTTATTACTATGTTGTAGTACAACTTTAACAAATAATTAAAATTCTACAACCAATCCTATTTCAAATTATTTGGCTGACTAACCATTTCGATTCATTTTGCAATTCATCGTGATAATCCTCCTAGTATTACTCATCCACAAAGAAACTGAAAAAAAAAAAGTAATCAATCAGGCAACTAGATATGTAGACACAAACATAATTTTTGATGAAATACATGTTTCTATTTCTATTGTATTTATATAAAGTTTGTTAGAATGCGCAAATTAACTTACTTAATATATACAAAGTGAAACTAAAAGAAGTCATGAGAGCGGGTGTATCTTCACAATAAAGTTGTAATTACTGGTGTATGTTGAAGCAGGGGATAAGGGAGATGTGGGGCCAATAAGAGCCTCCTCTACTAATCCTTTCTTTCAGATTTGGGCATCCAAATATCCACAATATCAGAAGTGAAGGCAACAACTTTTCTGGAAGATCTTTCGTCTTTGGGCAGGTGAAGATGAAGAGACGTTGGAGGGAGGTGAGGTGTTGGAGTCCCGTAGAAACCAATTCCAGTTTCCTAAAATTTTGTATTCGAAGAGAAGTAAGAGACGAAGGAAGAATGTGGGACAATTGATCGAAATTTTTAGCATCATCAAAAGGTCCACCATATAATATTAGGTCAACAAGTGAGGTTGGGAAATTCTGTGGACCCCACTCTGAGATGGGCTTCTTCAATCCTCCTATTTCAAGCCGACACAATTTCAGAGGCCAAAGCCCACGAGGGAAGGAAGCATCCATACTTGTACACTTTTGAATTGTCAGATCTGTTAACGAGGTGAGATTCGGTAACTCAAGGTCAGGAAATGACTCCATATTTGGACATTCTTCTATTGTCAATCTGGTGAGGTGAATGAAGGAACATTCTACTCCTCGCAACTCCTTTTCTGGTAGTTCCTTACAACCAGCAATGGAAAGTGTCTTGAGCTTGTTCCCCCTTCCTGTTAGGAAGGAGACAAATGTAATTGAATCACAATACCGAATATGCAAATCCTCTACACTATCTGGAAAATTGCAATGTTCTAAGCTGTTGCAATAGTATACAAGTAATGTCTTAAGAGATGTTAGGTAGCTCCCACAATTATCCTCTTCTTTCTCTCCTAAACTCACCAAATTTGAACAAGACGATACATGCAATGTCCTTAAATTCACAAGAACCTTACTTGCCTCTGATTCAGATTCCCACAAGTATCTTACTTCATCACACGTATTGATGCTTATTTCTTCTACTGCCCCAAGATACTTTGTAACACCTCTCCACAGTTGATCTGTAAGCCCTGAAATGCCACGTATTTCCAACTTGGTGATAGATGAAGCTACATGAACCAGAGTTGTCAACACACCATGACCACATTGGGTTAGGTATAGAACCCTCAGTGAAGGTATTGCTCCAAGTGATACTTGATGTAGATTAGGACAACTTTGTATAGTAAGCTCTTGAAGGGATGGAAACGTAGCATGTCCAACCCCACCACTTTCTGCTGACCATACCTTCCACCCCTTCATATCAACAAAACGTAGAATTTCAAGTGAAGGGAATGCAGGACTAGAAGTCCCAAGAAACTCCAAACCCACAACTTTCACCTCATCCATGCCTTCAATAATCAACTCCTTAAGTGATGGTAGTTGCCCGAGTGATGGTAGAGATGTACATGTTACACAGTTACGTATTGACACATGAGTCAACCGAAGAAACAAGGGATCCCCAACCCAATTTGGAAACTCTATACCCCTATAAAACCTGATATCAAGCTTTTTCAAAGTGTCAGTATGAGGCTTCAACTCACTTAGCACCTCCTTTTCATTTGTTTCCGTTCTAAATGAATTAAACACATTACCCCAATCCAACTCTAACTCACTGAATCGATTTTGGGATAAGTTCGCCTCATTTGCGGTCATTGCATTTTGCACGTTGCCAAGCTCCATAATGGAAATTTTCCCATGGAGATTTTTCAATTTTTTAAGGTCTGTTAATGCAAAATGGTTCTCCATTCCAACAATGATCTTGGTGAGAGTGCGTAGGCTTTTCAACTCACCAATCCCTAAGGGCATCTTCTTCAAAAGTGGAGTATCCCTACAGTCAAAATGCTGTAGATTTTGAAGCTTTGAGAAGCTTTTTGGTAACTTAATTAATTTATGACAGCAAGAAACATTCAGCGTCTGTAAATTATAAAGATTGCAAACATTTTCCGGTAAATGTGTGATCCATGTTCGAGATAAATTAAGATACCGCAAGTGCTTCAAACTACCAATGAACTCAGGTACCCACCATATGTTAAGATTACTCAAACTTAGGACCCTTAACAATGGTAACTCATGAAGTAAGTCATTCAAGACCTTATTTGATAAGTAAAATACATCCCAACTTTCTACCACCCCAACAGATAACGCTAAGAATGTTCTTAAACTTTTAGCTCCCTTGAATGGCTCGAACCTTTTGTTACTCATGTAATTCTCACAAACAAATGACATATGGCGGTGAATTTCCATAGATTCCTTCCTAGATTCCTTCTTCATCCCAATGTCTAACCTTAAAAAAAAATCTCCAGCAACAGACATGGCCAAGTCATTCATAAGATCATGCATCACAAACAAAGATTCATCATTAGAAGATTGTTGAAAGAAGGACCTCGACAACAGCTCATCAAAATATTTGAATCCCAAGCGTTCCATGGACTTGCTTGTAGTAGAGTGTTGCAAAAACCCTTCTGCCATCCACAACAAAATCAACTCCTCCTTGTCGAACACATAGTCCTTGGGGAACAAGGAGCAATATGCAAACAACAGCTTCAAAGAGGCAGAAAGATCATTATAGCTTAGTCTAAGAGCCGGAAGAATATCATCTCCATTTTCCAACCTCCATATTTCACTACCCAACAGCTCCTTCCATTCTTCCTCATCTGTTTTTGTCCTCAATAACCTCCCAAGTGTTTGTAAAGCCAAAGGCAAGCCATCACATTTTTTCACAAACCCTTCACCATATGGTCCAAGTGTTGGATGTGAATCAAAGTTATCTACACCCAATGCATGTTGAGCAAATAATGACAATGCATCGTCGTGTGACAGACCCTGCAAACAATCATGATGAGAGAAACCCAGCTTTCTGAGCAATTGCTCCTTCCGAGTTGTCATGATAATTCTACTTCCAGGAGACCCTACAAGAAATGGGCCCACTAATTTCTCCCAATCATTATAGCTTTCAGACCATACATCATCTAAAACTATTAGAAATAGTTTGTTCTGCAGTTTCTCTTTAAGAGCTTCTTGAAGCAGATTTAAATCTGCAAATTCCTTGTTTTCCCTGGTTACAGATTGATAGATAACTCTGCTTATGTTGGGGATACTGAACTCATCAGAAACACAAACCCAAGCCTTGATTTCAAAGTAATCATTCACTTCCTTTTCGTCATACAACATTCTAGCTAGAGCTGTTTTACCAACTCCACCCATACCAACTATGGGAACGATGCTGAAGTTGACTCCCTGATTCATCTTTATCCCCCAACAGCTTCTCAAGCAATTTTTTCTTATCACTTTCACGTCCAACAATACGACTTGCACCCACCAAAGACGTCTCATATCTTTCAATTCTTAGCTTTTCATTTGTAATCACACTCAAACCAAGATTATTTTTTGCCTCCACTAATTCTTGTAACTTGGTGGCAATATCATCTAACTTGGCATGCATCCTATTACTTTGTGAGAAACTTGTGCAACAACTTGGGATTAGCTTTCTTACCATGCTGGTGGAGGCTCCAGATTCCCGGGTCAACTCACGATGAATAGCTTCGGTTGCCAAGTCATCAAGTAGGTCGTCAATGTCGTAAGCCAAATGTTGGAGACCATTCAGCCATCTTTTAATAGCTTCATTATTTATTTCCTTCTGAGAAGCATCGTTAAGAAGATCTTGGATTTGGTCTAATGTCTTTTTCAATTTCTTGAGCTCAGAATCAATTCCCTTTGAACGAGCGATCTTCTTCAGGGGTTCAGAAGCCAGCTTTTCAAAGACCACTGTCAAGAAGGCAGAAAGAATGCTTTCAGCCATTTATGGTAAGAGCAGAGAATATAGTAGAGATGTGGATGAAAGGATGCAACGAGAGAATGATTTCAATTATTAAGAGATGTTGATGAATTGCAATTACAATTATTGTTTACAGTAAAAAGATGTGGATTAAATTAATGCCCACCACAAATTTGTGGCCCCTAAAATTGCAAGTTGCTTGAGAAGTTTCAACGAAAAGATAATAGATTGAAAATTGTTTACCAAACATTGAAAACTGAAACTTGACGATGTAAAAGTCCCATGGACCCATACTCAGTGGACAAGAATCAGCTATTTAAAAATCTTCGAGTTTTCTTCATGGCCTTCTTCTCTTACTACAACGTTACCAACTCCGGCAGCCATCAATTGTTGTTACATTTCGACAGAGATAAACATTGCCGACCAGAATCCTCCACCATCTGGTCTCCTCTTCCACCAATTTATGTTTACTGTGAGGAGTCAAAGCCAATGCTCAGCGGCGATGCTGCGGCGGAGACGGAAATTTCTGAACTGCTCCATGATTCGTCATTGGTCAAAATTTTGATGAGTACTAGTGGTGGAACCATTTGTTTTACTTATACCCTTTTTGTTATGATAAATAATCCCTTTATTTTAGGGATTGGTTTCTTATTAACCCTGTTAAATCCGCCTCTTTCTTCCTACTACTGATCTTAAACAAATTAATCGATTTGAAAACCCTTTGCTCTTGCTATCTCGTTTCCAGACGTTTCTCCTCGATTGTACTTCAAGTCGATACGATTTCCTTCATTGCACCATTCTTAGACCCTAACATTCCATATAAGCAATGTTTTAAAAACCGGTTTTTTAGTTGGACCGGTACGGTGATCGGTTCCCGGTTCAACCGGTTTAACCGGTTCGACCGCCAGGTGAACCGGTTTCTATATTTTTCATGTTTTTTTTCAATTTTCCTACATATACATACATATAGAAATTAGGAATTTTATGTTTACAAGTTCAAACATTAAAAATACACATAAAAATAACTTGTAGATGAATCTAAATACATTAAAATAACACATAACCATAAATTTTAGTGTTTTACATCAATCCATATACATTAAAAATAAAATAAAATATAATACCGAAACGAAATATAGTTTTTGATCAATACAAAAACATCAAAAGAATTTATAACTTTTACTATATGTTTTTATTTAGAGAAAACTAAATAGATTTGAAAAAAAATCACCAAAGTTTATTATGTAAATAGTTCTTTTTCATGTGTTTTTATTCGGTTTAACCGGTTCAACCGGTTTTTTTCTAAAAAACCGGCCAGTTCAATCCGGTTCAGAAATCAATATAAAACCGGTGATAGTTGAACCGCTCCCTCTCCCGGTTCCCGGTCCAACCGGTTCGACCGGCCGGTTCAAACCGGTTTTTAAAACATTGCAGATAAGAACACCGTCCGTGATGTCGACGACGACCGATTTCCTAATAAGCTCTTGAATCTCTTTATAAGACCCCTTCACTTTCTCCAAGGTATGATCGTCACCCCAAGTAGGCCGCTTCCATTTGTAATTTCTTCGATTCACAGTGAGTCCTTTCGATCCACCATTCAGTTTCTAAGCAATTTCAGTGAACTGAAGTCCTTGTGCATCGACCTTGCATTTTCCAGTCTCTCGGAGCTATTGATAATGCTTCTTTGTTCAAGTGGAAGGTTAAGTCCGGTAAGGGAATCGAATTGTTTATATTTATGTCGCCAAATTCAACCTAGTGATTGTAGCACGTTTTGCACCACCCTTTCAACAATGTTTACTAAACCAATACTCCTTTTACAGTTTGCAGACCGCAAGTTTGATAAAATTACTCAAGAAAATCCGACCTAAAAATTTAACTTATAACGGTATTACAAGTATACGAAAATGGATTTGCTGGTAATGTGGAGCCTTTCTTGAACGTTCCAACAGTAGTGAGATCATGTTTGAGACATTCAATGTTCCAGGTCTTTATATAGTTGTGCAGCATGTTCTTGCTCTTGCTGCATGATACACCACAAAGAAGGTTAGTTTTTTGGATCTTTAATCTTTAATCTTTAATCTTGATTCTTGAGTTTATTTGGTAATTTGTAATGTTTAAAACATTATATTCTTTTGCTTAGTGTGAGATGAAAGGTATTGTCGTCAATGTTTTAAAAACCGGTTTTTTAGTTGAACCGGTACGGTGATCGGTTCCCAGTTCAACCGGTTTAACCGATTCGACCGGCAGGTGAACCGGTTTCTATATTTTTCATGTTTTTTTCAATTTCCCTACACATACATACTTATAGAAATTAGGAATTTTATGTTTACAAGTTCAAACATTAAAAATACATATAAAAATAACTTGTAGATGAATCTAAATACATTAAAATAACACATAACCATAAATTTTAGTGTTTTACATCAATCCATATACATTAAAAAGAAAATAAAATATAATACCGAAACGAAATATAGTTTTTGATCAATACAAAAACATCAAAAGAATTTATAACTTTTACCATATGTTTTTATTTAGAGAAAACTAAATAGATTTGAAAAAAAATCACCAAAGTTTATTATGTAAATAGTTCTTTTTCATGTGTTTTTATTCGGTTTAACCGGTTCAACCGGTTTTTTTCTAAAAACCGGTCGGTTCAATCCGGTTCAGAAATCAATATAAAACCGGTGATAGTTGAACCGCTCCCTCTCTCGGTTCCCGGTCCAACCAGTTCGACCGACCGATTCAAACCGGTTTTTAAAACATTGGATGTGGTTGATGTTGGAGATGGTGCTACACATGTTGTTCCTGTTGCAGAAGATTATATTATTCGGAGTAGTATTAAGTCAATACCCATTTTCAGGAACAGATGTTACTTACTTCATCCAACAACTCATGAAGGTATCTTCATTTTCACTTCCTTAATTATTCTTTCAAAATCAAGATTATTAATGTCTGGTTTAATCTTTAATGACATTTATCTTATTTAGGAAAGAGGAGAGCACCTTCCACCTGAAGATTCACTTGAAGTAGCACGAAAACGTTTTTTAGTTATATTGGTGAGATTCTAATTCTATTGGAATGGAATCATGAATTCAAATTCTGGTGGAATGGAATCACGAATTCCAATTCTGTTGGAATCACAGAAGTTGATGCTTGAAGAACGGACCACAAAAAGTTTTTTTAGTTTTATTCTTTAACAATAAATATAATTATTAACAATTGTTACATGTATTCTATAAGAAATAATGTACTTTTTGTTTTTATTCTTCTATTGATTGTTCAAGAATTTGTTATTCTACAAGAAGTTTTTAAATTCATGATCAATAAATAGGTTCAAGAATATTTTTATTTTTTATGGTTTAAGAATATTTTTATTTTTGAATATACTCATAAACATATTCTGTCAGAATGTCCGAATTAAAAGAATTATAATTTGTAAAATTGGATTTTTAAAATTAATAGAATCTATGATCCCTTAAAAATGCAATTTTCCTTTATTAAATCTATATTAACTGACTAAATTACCCTTGTAATTAATTAAGATGATATTTTTCAATTATATTTAATTCAATAATATATATTAATCACTTTCTTAAAATAAGTAAATTTGAGTGGTCCATATTTATGCATACAATAACACAATAATTAATTTGAATAGAATAACCTAAGCATATATATATATATATATATATATATATATATATATATATATATATATATATATATATATATATATATATATATATATATACACACACATATAGGGTTGAGATCGGTTGAGAATTCAAAGTTTCTTGAGAACCCGAAAACTAAAAATGAAGCGTTGGATCAAAACTAATTCGTTAAGGACATCATCGTCATCTTACCAATCTCATTTAATGTTTAATTTTTTGTGTTATTTAATATATTATATAAATGTCTAAAAATTAACAAATTAACTCAAAATTTCAGATTTATTTTTTTTTAAATAATAATTTTCGATTTTTTTAAAAAATGAAGATTTTTTAATTTTTTTCAAAAAGCATGAATTTTTTAAAAAATGAATTTTTTTTTAAAAAAAACTGCATCTTTTTTCAAAAAAACTGTATTTTTTTTTTCAAAAAACTGCATTTTAAAAAATATAATTTTTATAAAAAAGTGCAATTTTTTTCAAAAAATATTTTTTTTTAAAAAAAATTGCATCTTTTCTCAAAAAAACTACATTTAAAAAAAGAACTGCATTTTTTTAGAAAAAAACTGTATTTTTTTTTCAAAAAACTGCATTTAAAAAAATACGATTTTTATAAAAAAAGTGCAATTTTTTTTCAAAAAGCATTTTTTTAACAAAAAAAATGAACGTTTTAGGTGCATATATGCATATTTTTTCAAATGCATATTTCTTATATTATAATATTTGTAAGTAAATTATAAAAAATCGCATTTTTATTAATCAATCTATAAATATAATACAAGTATTTTAATCGATACAAAATAAACAGTAAAAAACTACAAAGATTCACAGTGTTATCATTTCTTCACATCAAGATTTCCATATTTTCTTCAATTTATCACTTTTCGCTTCTTCAATATTTTCAACAAATTCTTCAAAACCTACAAGAAAATTTAAAGAAAAAAATTAATTAATGCAAGAACACTCAGAAAAATGCATAAGTATATATCATGTAAGATTCACATGTGATTATATCATGTAAGATTCAAATGTGATTATATAATATGATATTCACATTTGATTGTATTTTTTTAAGATTCAAATGTGAAGTTCACAAGAAAATAAAAAAAAAATTAACAAAGACCTCTCACACAAATGCATGTGTGCATATTGTCGTAATTCATATGTGATTCACTAGTGATTTACATGTGAATCATATGTAATTCATATGTTATTCACTTGTGATTTACATGTGAATCACATGTAATTGATATGTGATTCACTTGTGATTTATATGTGAATTACATGTGAGTAATATGTGAATTACATGTAATTTATATGTGAATCATATATGAATTACATGTGATTTACATGTGAATCACATGTAATTCATATGTGAATTAGATATTATATACATGTAAGTCACATGTAGTGAATCACATGTAACTCATATGTGATTCACTTGTGATTTACATGTGAATCATATGCGAATTACATGTAATTCGTATGTGAATCACTTGTGATTTACATGTGAATCACACGTAATTCATATATGAATTACATGTGATTTACATATGACTCATGTGTGAATTATATGTGAATCACATGTAATTCATAATTACATGTGAATCACATGTAATTCATATGTGATTTATTTGTGATTTACTTGTGAATCACATGTAATTCACATATGAATTACATGTGATTTACTTATAACTGTCACACCATGATTCAGACAAATAAAAAAATTCAAAAAAATTGGAACATGAACCATTATCAATTATGATTGACCTGATAGAAGAGTTGGTGGTGGAAGAAATCCAAGTCTGATGGGTTTTGATCATAAGACATCCTATGTGCTCATACAAACCCTAATGCTTGGATCTAGGTTTCTCTATTGTACATGCT